TCCCGCGTTGTGTAACCCGCGAAGCCGTCTCCGCGCTTTGCTCCGGTAATGGTTCCGATTTCACCCCCGTGAGTCTTCCCCACCTCCGACCCACCCCCGTTATTCTCTTCCAGGGAGACAGGAGACCTCCCACAGCCGCGGATCCTTCCGTTCCGTCTGCTCGTGCACCCTGCAGGTCAGACTGCAATGAGTGGACTGAGGTCTCCTGGGCTGCTGGGGCTGGTGCTCTTAATGCTCTCGGCAGGATATTGCAAAGAGAAAACTGACTCCGCAGATTTGAAGGAGAGGCAAAGTCTCTTGAATCTGATCATGGAGATCATTCAGGAACTGAAAAGGTACCACCTGGAGAAGGGCAGTGGGTTGCAGTACTTCTCCAAGCACGACTATAACTTAGATCGAAGGGAAGTGGCCGACTATGGAGGATACCAGGATGAGCAGAGGGTTGGTAAGTCACACTCCATGACTTTGGAGATCTCTTCTTTTTTTTTTTTTCTCTTAAGGTGCCTTGGTGAATCAGACATCACATCAGGTTACTAATTTTATATGAAGAATTCACCACTCAGAATACCTGCAGATTCCCTTTGGTAACAGAAACTGACACAGACGTCAAGTTTGGAATAGAAAAACTCCATTTGCATCTCAGAGTCTCTTACTCTCTGGATAATGTACTCGACTGAAAGTCCAGCTTCCTGTGTGTTGGCTTTGAACAAAACCTATTAATAAGGGAAAGCCTGAAATGGTCTGAGATCAAAGAAATAAGGGATGAAAGTGTTATTTTTCCTGGAAGTTTACCACTTTCTAAAATGTGCTTGGTTTAAGTGTTTCTTGGAAATGACCCTATCAAGAACTCCCCTCCAGGACTACAGCATGTCCTTATAGATCTAACATGTAGGAGTCTTTCCAGCAGCTCAGCTTCATTAAACTTTTTGCACCGCTTATTATTCCCTTTTGTGCTCTGGGGGTAACACCTTTGAAATAGTAGGGAACTGAAACAGAGTACTCCTCTGTCACTGTACAAGCTGTGTCTCCTTTGGGACACCGCTGCAGTCTTCCTTCTACTCACTTCAATGGCTCCTCTCTAACCTTCAGTGAAAGCCCAGGTTGGTTTCCAAGACGTTCAGGGTTGTATAGAGCAGTCTGGAAGCAGTTGTACCAAGCCACATAGCGATGGATAGTTGCCTGTCAGTTTCATGACATGCTTCTGTGCATCCAATTGAAAGTTGATGTGGCTTCTCCTGCTGCCGTGTCTAATTTACTGTTCACTGTCACTCCCAAAGCCCTACAGCATCACTGCTGCTCATCATACAGCTCCTTTTGAAAGTGACTTCCTGAATATGTTCCAGCAGATGTCTACTCACCTTTTTACAAACTGGCTTTCATTTGGCTAGTATGCTATTTATTTTGCCTTTATTGATCTCATAAAGCTTCATTGTACCTTCTCTTCATTCTCATTCATATTCATATACCCTCATGATTTGCATTTGTTGGTGGTTGTCATGAAAATGTTACTTCTCCATCTGGGTCATTAATGAATATACAAAGGAAGACAATTTTGTTCCACTTAAGATCAGCACAGCGAGAACATTTTGTTTTATAAATGTTGAAAAGTTAGAGAGGCCACACTAAGCAGGGAGTCCTGGTCTGCACAACTCTTAAACCTCAGCAGGGCACATGGGCATAGTTTTTGGCCACTCTGCATCAGCACATTGGTGTGACACATCTGATTTGTGCTGAACAGTTATCTATGTAAATGATAAACCTACTTCAGAGCAGATTAGTTGGTAGTGGTGTCACTGATTCCTAAGAAGGATTTTTCATGCTGCTATTATAATAGAGTTATTCCCAGCAACTCTGAAAAGGAACAACTGCTTAGAGTTTTTTCATTTTGGCATCACTTTCCCAGTGAGCCTGTCCCACGGGAAATTTCTGAGTGAAGCATGTGTGTTTTTAATGTTCTTCATGACATAATTAGGTCAAATATGATAAGGTCAATTTTACTTACACTGACTGAAGTTAGAAGTAAATGAAGAATGACTTTCGAGAAGTGTCTAACCTCACAAGTGAATCAGATCTGGATGGAAATGCTCTCTGCTTTATATTTCATAAGAGGTGCCAGGGGAATGAAAAAGGCTGCTCAGGCATTTATGGTCAAATAAATAAAGCACCATGTAGTGTATCATACACAATGAGCACTAAGCTATCAGCATAGAGTTCGTAACGGAAAGTAATCAAAGATAGCTGTAAATCAGGAAGACACGAGCAAGGGTTAGGGCTAAAATGGATTTCAGTAAACCAGTTTCATTTTTCCATCTGCTGAACACAAAACACAAGGCGGTAAACCACGAACACAGGGAGCCAGAAGAGAGCAATTTGCTTGGGATCATTTCCTGTGAATTTTATTTACTGCTGAGGGAAGAGGGGGG